GCCTCCCCGCCCCCGCCCTCTGCAGCGCCTCTCGCAGCGGCAGCCCCCGGACCGGGAGGATTATGAACGAACCATGAGCCGGCTGCGGCGCTGGGCGATCGCGGCTCTGCTGCTGCTGCTGCCGCTCCCTGCACCCAGTGAGTACCCCCGCCTGGCCGGGCCTCTGTCCCGGCGCCCCCTCCCTGCCACCGCCCTGGCTTTTGCGGCGGTTTCTGCTGCAGCCACATTTTCCTGCAGTGCTCCGGGTGACAGCCGGTCCAGAGCGCGGGAGGGCGGGGGAGCGGGAGAGAAGGGAAGGTGCGTCCACCCACCTGTCCCCATCGGGCCGGCCCCACTGCGGCCACCCCGTGCCGTCGGCCGGCCGACTCTGCAGGTCTCTGCGGGTTTGGGGGGGCAGTCGTGAGGATTGGGCAGGAGTGAAGCTCCCGGCCCCCTGCCCGTGGGGCTCTTCCTCCTGCAGGGCAGCCAGATCCTCCCACCCGGATTACCCCAGGGCTCCAAAGGCCACACCAGAGTGGGGGCTGGCACGTGCCCACCCCATTCCCAAGTCTCCTGTCCTGCGGTGGGCATCTGCCTGCAGCTATGGCCTTGTCTCCCCAGGTCTTGGGGCCCGGGGTCCTACCGGAGTTCTGCACTGGGGGGGCTCACCCCAGGTGGGGAGCCCAGAAGCCCCGGAGGTCACAGAACCCAGCCGTCTGGTAGGGGAGAGCTCTGGGAGAGAAGTCCGAAAGCAGCAGCTGGACACCAGGGTCCGCCAGGAGCCACCGGGGGGCCCGGTGAGTGGGGCTGGGTGGTGAGGCCGGGGGGCTAGAGTAGGCCTCAGAGCCCAAAGGAGGTCACAAGTTGGCCAGGGCTTGGGTGCCTTCTCAGCAGCTGGTTCCTGCAGCTTCCTTTCTGTACAATGGGTATCAGGTGGGTGCTGGAGCCCACTAGTGGGGAGCACTGGCCCTGCCCAGCTCTAGGTTCCCCTCCCATCATTGTGAGGGGGATCTCCTGCCCTCAGCATTCAGGGACCCTGGAATACCCAGGTCTCGGTCTGCTTCGAGTCAGCCTTTCAGGGCCCCAATCCCCTCCTGCCAGAGCTGGTGGTTCTGCTCAAAATGGAGCTTGGGCAGGGTGTTGAGGGGCAGGGAGAAGCAGCTAAGAGACCAGTCAGGAACTAGGACGCCCAAGTTCTCACCACAACCACCCTCAGCAGGCTTTCTTGAAACAGTTTAGTGATTGCTCCTGCCTCAGTTTCCCACTGTGCACAGACAGGCTTGTTCTCCTCCCTGTCCTGGCTGAAGATGGGACCTTGGGAAATCGTTTGAGGCCCCAAGCTCACCCACAAATGCCAGCTCTACCCATCCGCTGTCCCTTTCAGCTGCCAGGTCCCTCCTGCCTCCCAGAGGAAGGTTAGGAATGGAGATTAATTGCAATTAATAATTAATTAATATCATGTGAATAATAATCACCCAGATGGAATATTCATTCAGCACACCTCAGCTCTCCAGGAGCTTGAAGCTGAAAGTTAGCCAGCCCAAGGGGGGTGACAGAGGGCTGGATGGCGAAGGCCTGGCAAAAATAGGAGGTGTAGAGGAGAGACTCAGAGGAGGGGTGCCACTGAAGTCTGGAAGTTTTGGCAGCTGGGAGTGGTGGGAGGTAGATTGGGCTGAGCAGAGGGAGGAAGGAGAGAAATGGAGGCTAACATTATGGACATCTGTCAGACTGGCATCTGGCCCTGCCTAATGTACTTGGTTAAAAGCCCTTAAAGGGGGGTGGGGGGTGGAGAGGGATGTGGGGTGGTGCGGGGAGTGGGGAATGCTGGTGAAATGGAATGGAGCAGGAAGGGAGCATGCATAATACATGGGCCATCACTCAGGGCAGCGCTGAGGGGGAGGGGCGGAGAGGGGAGGGGGCTAATGGTCCTGAGCTGGTGGCCTTGGGGGTGGGGTGGGAGTTGGGGGTTGGCTTCAGCACCTGCCCAGCTTCCCTGGGAGGTGGGTGGATGGGTAGTGGGGACAGTGCCAGGGCCTGGGATGGGGTGTCCTGCCTGCATTGTGTCCATTAGTGCACCCTTCTTCCCTGGTGTGCCCCACCTGTGACCTGTGCACCCCACGGTTGCATTGGTGGGGAGTTGATGACCCACCTAACTGCTGGGACTCTGGCTTGTGCTTTAGGGGATGTGCAGATTGGGGGATGGGGTGATGCAACGGTGGGGTTAGGAGACAGAGATGAGGGAAAGCATGAGAGTCTGGTAGGGAGGAAAAGTGGGGTATTCCAATTGGATAGGCTGCTCCTTCAGCCTTTGTGAAGAGAGAGGTGGGGGGGTTCTGGGGTATGGTGGTAACTGTGGCTGGGTGCAGTTGGACTGGATGGGGTGGGGGTTCTTTGGGTGTTGTTCTGCTGGGTGAGTCGGTGGCATGCGCTCATACATGTGTGGTGTATATGTGAGAGACAGGGTCCCAATATACTTTAGGGGGTGTCCAAGGGCACAGCGGGTGGGAGTGGATAGTTCTATGGATCTGTGGGGCAGTGGTCATCTCCAGTGGGGGTCTCTCTGGGACTGAGACTTCCCAGGGACCTCGCTGCAGCCTCCCCAGGGGACTTGCTCAGAGATCTGCTTTATCTGTACCTCAGTTTCCCCTGAGGTGGAAGATCTGCCCTGGAGGTGAAGGAGAAGGCTGCCCAGGCTGTGGGCTTCTCTGGACCAGGCACTCTGCTAAGTCTTGCATGCATATTACAGCACTCAATTCTCACAACCCTGGGGGCTGGCTGGCTAGTTCAGGTGGTTAGAGTGTAGCCTTATAACACCAAAGTAGCGGGTTCAGATCCCCATACTGGCCAGCCGCCAAAAAAAAAAAAATTCTCACAACTCTATAGGGCAGATAGATAGCTTTTGTCTGCCCCATTTTGCAGATGAGCAAACTGAGGCTCGGAAAGGTTAAATAACTTGCCCAAAGTCGATCAGATGTTAAGCAGTGGAGCTGGGAGTAATTTTCTCCAAGACCAGGGCACTCCCCACTGCACTGTTCGACCTCCAAGAGCAGTCCTGCAACCCCACCCAGAGCAAGGAGAGTGGAAGGCCAAAGGAGAAAAAAGACAGGTCCAGAATATATCCTCCTGACTGGAAGGAGATGTGGCAAACCCTCGACCTCCCTTCTGCCATTTCACCCCAGGGCTGGAGCAGTTCAGGCCTCAGAAGCTGGGGGGCTGATGGGAGTCACTGCAGCCTTGAGCCCGAGCCCCGGCATTGCTTGGGTTTCTCCTGAGTTGTTGCACTGGTTTGGAACTTCAGGCTGTACAGGTGTTGCATCAGCAGCAAGATCTCTGGTCATGTGGCAAGTCTGGGGGCATGGGCTGGCTGGCAGGGCCAGGACGGTGGGGCCTTGGATACTAACCTGCTCTGGCTTTAGATAGGTCACTTCACCTTTCTTTCTGAGTCCCACTTTCTGATCTCTAAAATCAGGATAATGATAACATAAATCTTGGCCTCACCTATAGCCAGGAGGCAGTGATAGAAAAGGGCTTTGTGTGCTGAGGACCTCTGGCTTAGTAGGGGGTGGGACTAGGGCAAGGGGAGAGAGAAGGTGGCCAGGAAGGAATTAGAAGCTAGAGAAATTACAATTTACCGGGTCCTCATGGAGACAGGCACTCTTCTGCCTTTACATGAATTCATCACAACTCCAGGCTTTGGGGCTGTTAGTATCCCATTTCACAGACAGAGAAACAGGCACACAGAGGTGAAGTAACACCCCAGGTCACACAGCATTTCAATAGCAGAGTCAAGACTGATAGCCAGTGCTGCCCTCTTAACTAGTCCACTGCTTGCCTGTCACTCAGGGGTATAGCAAAGAGGGACGCCAGTCGGGAGACCCTTTACTCTCTGCCATTGCTCTCAACACCTCAGTTCTGTTCAGTGTGGAAGCAGTTTGGGCCTGAGGCCCAGAGAAGTGGGGGAGTTTCTGGAAGTGCAGAAACCTATGATTACAGGGAAGCTGAGTCTGAGGGGTGAGGCAGGAGGACAAGCAGGGCCACCGTGTACAGTTGGGCTGGTTGTTCACTGCACAAGGGCACCTGGGCAAGGGGTCATTGGGCTGAATGAAATCTCTGGGCTCAGGAGGCTGCATGTGCTGTGAGGAGACACCTTTTTCTAATTCACACAAAGCTGCTGGGAGGGCTTTGCCTGCCCCTGGAGAAACCCAGACTCTTTGGGAACCAAGGAGAAGGTAGGATGTAGGGAAATGAACAGGGTTGGTGGTGAGGGGTTCGCAGACCAGGAGACAGAGCTGGGGGAGGGCACATCAGTCACAGGGCTGAGCTCCTGTGAGAACTGCCCAGCCCAGCCTCCCTCAGTGTCAGCAGCAGGGCACCTCGTTCTGGCATGAGGGCTGGTGTCAGAAACAGGATCCAGGGCATTTGGGGTTACCTGTCAGCCTTGGGCAGGGTTGAGGGAGAAACAACATAGCAGGGTCCAGCATCTCCAGTCCTCCCCAGCCAGACTCTGGCCTGTGGGCTTGGCTTTACCCAAACACCTCTCCTGGCTGCCTGGAGGAGCTCAGCTGTCAAGATCTGTCCCTAGAAGGACTGATGACCCTGTAAGGAGGTGACTCTGTCCTCAAAAATTTAGGTCAAATCCCATCATCAGAAATTCATCCAACTGTTCTCATTGTCTGGGAATCCCACTGCCCTGTCGATAAATGGAGCATTAGCATATAATTGGGCGACATGGGGGGAGTTAGCTGGTGGGCGGGTGGGTGGTATCTCCTAGCCAGGACATGCTCCCCAGTGGGGCCCCTGCCTCTCTGGCTCCTCCCCCGTCTGTGGCCACCCAGCGTGCACGGTGGTGGTGTCTCTCTGCACAGTGGGTGGGAAGGGATGTCCTCAGGTGAGACACCTCACAGGTAAATCACTCCAATCCACCCAAATCTGGAGCATAAAGACACCATTTTGGCATGTCCCTGTCTCAGGAGGTGATCCAAGGGGGTCTTTTATTCAGTTCCTCAAAGCCCCGTTTATCTGGAGTATTTATACTTCTTTCTTCATTTATTATTATTACTAACCCTTATGATAATAGCACATTAAAAAGGGCTTTCATTTAATCCTCACAACAACCCCATTTTACCAATGGGGGAACTGAGGCAGAGAGAGTTAAGCAGCTTACCCAGGCCTTTCATGCCTTTCCATTCAACATGAGTGTTGAGCCCCTGGGCAGGGAAAAGGGTGGGCATAGCCCTTGCTCCAGGGGACTAAAAGCCACCCATGAAACAAATTGAATCAGTGATAAAAGAAATATATGTCAAGAACTGTATGCTTAAAGGCCCAGAGGTCACTGAGAAGGGTCAAAGCTCTGTGTGGGTTGGCAGGTGCAGGGTTTGCAGAGGAGAGCAGGGAGGGAGGGTCGTGGGGAGGAGATGGGATTCAGGTGAGTGAGTGAGGGGAGGGGGCCTGGAGGTTGGGGAGAGCAGGGATCTGCACGTTCAGATCTTCTGGGCATTTGAGAAACCTAAAGATCCTTAGTCTCTCCCTTTCCAAGACTGCGATTCTGTAGGTCTGGGGCAGAGCCCGGCATCTGTATTTGTGATTCTGGGACTTCTGTAGTCTCTGCCTCCTTCTCAACCTGACAGGGAGTAGAGTGGAGGAGACACAGTTCTCTGAAGCAGGTGCCTGGGAGAGTGGGCAGGTCAGCAATGGGGAAGCTGTGGGTGGAGAGTGCAGTCACCCCTGCCAGGTGGCCACAGATGCCACAGCAGACATGAACACCAGAGGGTAGGGCTTGGTCCCACACTTCCCCAGCTGTGACCCTGGGCCAGCCACCTCCAAGTGTCTCTCCCTGAGCCTCTGTCTGGCATTTGTAAAATGAGGCCCAGCCAGGTTGAGACCAGAGGTGAGATCAAATGAGCTGGCACACACGAGAGTGGGTGGCTGGGGAGCAAGAGGCAAGCAAGCACAGGGCACAGGGTCACAGCTGGCTGGTCACAAGCAGTGCTGAGCTGGGCGCAGAGGTGGGAAGGCAGCTGGAGACTGGCATGAGCTCAAGACTGAAGGGGCCCTCCCAAGGAACTGAGAGATAATGGGATGAGGCCAGGGGCAGGTCAGGGCCAGGCAAGAGTTTGGCTTTGATAGAACATCACCTTAAAGCTTGGCTGGGGGCGTCTCCCTGGTGCCAGCAGGAGCCCCTTCTCCAGGCTCCTGGGAGGCAGAGGTCCTGGGACCGAAATGGGTTTGATTTGCCTGATCTGTCTCTTCCCTCAGACAGGGGACAGAGCTGTGTCCCCCCATCCAGCCAGGCCAGGCCCACATGTCAAGGTATCTGGATTCTCTCCCCTCCCCGCTTTTTTTTTTTTTGACTGGCCAGTAAAGGGATCTGAACCCTTGACCTTGGCAAGGCTGCACTCTAACCAACTAAGCCAAACTGCCAGCTCTCTCCCCTTTCTCCCACTGCCTTTTGGGGCCTCCCCCGGCCCCCTCCTGCTAGCTCCAGCTCCAGCCCCAGCAATTGCCCTGGTACTGCCCAGGGGTCTTACCCAGCCTGAGCCCAGTGTCCTGCTGGGGAAGGGAGCAGCCACCCCCACAGTTTGGCCTCACCAGGTGGGGAAGGGAGTGAGGCCTAGGCAGGCTGCAGGAAGTGGGGGCCGAGAGGAGCCTGAGGCATCTGGCACTGCTCCCCCAAAAGCCTAGACTTCCCCAAATGGGGGGCTGGCCTGGCCTCCATGGAGAAGGAGGCCAGGTAGGTCAGCTCGAGGGCTTCCCAAGTGACTCCCTGGGGTTGACTCTGCCAGAATCCTCCAGGCCCAGGATGACTCCCCACCACACAGCCAACCTCCCATCCTCTCATCTGGACTCATCTAACCATTTTCAGTGGGAAAATCCGGGGTCAGAGAGGTGCTGGGCCGTCCCTGAGGCTGCACAGCCTGAGAGTGGAGTCAGGGCACGGGGACTAGGGAAGTCAGAGGCGGGCTGGGATAGGGGTTTGTCGGTGGGAGGCAGACAGAACAAGCAGGAACAGTCCTGAGAGGAGAGGAGGGAGGGCAAGGATGGTCCATGTGTGGGGAGTGGGGGTGGAGGTGGGGGGCTGAGCTAGTGCAGGCACAGGGGGAGGGGAGAGCAGAGATGGCCCAGGCCGAGGGCTGGGGTGAAGGAAACAGTGACTCCTTGTCCTTGACTTTCTATTTCGAGTCTGATCGATACTCCAGGGGCTCAGGATGGAGCTTGGAGCCCTGGTCAGCCTGGGCTGGGGTGAGTCGGTGTCCTTGGAGCTCAGTGGTCTGCCTTCCCGGGCTCTGGCCCTTCACCTCAGCTTGTCCCCTCTCCAGGGCCTGTCCCGGACACTGGGCCCACTTCCGTCTTACCTTGCCTTTGGGGTGAGAAGGCCCTGGAAGCAGATTCCCTAGGTTTGAATCCCAGCTCTGTGACATCTTAGCTGTATGACCTTGGGCAAGTTAGTTAGCATCTCTGTGCCTCAGTTTCCCCATCTGTCTGATGGGAATAACAGTAGCATCTATCCCATAGGGTAGATGTGAAGGTCGAATATGCTCCTAGTTGGAAAGAGTTTAGACCAGTGCCTGGCATGTAAGCAGCACTCGGTAAAGATTGGTAATGACCAGGTGGTTGACGAGGGAGCTGACAGGCAGGCAGCAAGCTATGGGACTCCATGACATCCATGTTGGGGCTCCGCTCCTTCCTACAGCCTGCTTTCCCTACCACAAAAGCAAGTCAGCAAACAAAAGCCTCCCATGGGCAGAGGAGACGGTTGTGACCCTCATCTGGGTGCCTGGAGTTCAGTCTTGTCAAGTGGACAGGAAGTGGGAGGAAGGGTCCGGCCCCCAAATCCTCTCAGACCTTTCCCGGGCTTCCAGAGCTTTCCTAAGACCTGAGGCTGCACACTCCATCTTGGGCTGAGGTGCGGGAGCCGCCAGGTGTGTCCCCAGGGTGGTTGTGATTGAGGACCGAGGATCTCCTGGCCTTCTTCCCCTGGGGTCGCTCTCCCCACAGGCACAGGGGCTTCGGGCTCTGCAGGAGCGGGGCGCCCAGGCCTGGGAGGGCAGCGTCTCACGCAGGACTGGTGCATCACCATGGCAACCTGGAGCCTCCCAGCCCCAGTGCGTAGGCCCCTCTGAAAAATTTATCAGGAAAACTTCCGTGTTTAAAAATTAACTATGTGATTGAAATATTAAAGATGAGCTGCTTTGGGCAAGGCAGAGGGCAATGGATTTGGGGGTGGAGGAGCCAAGTTCTTTCCTCCTGACGAGATGGCACCTGCTTGTTGCCGCAGCTTCCAGGGGCCCAGTGATGGATTTCCACCTACTCCAGTCCCGTCTGAGGCCTCCTATGTCATTGAGGCTGGGACCAGGGTAGGGGGACAGGAAGCGAGGGACCTGCGCCCTTTTGCTGTTTGCCCCTGACTGAGACCCTTCTCGCTTCCCTTGGGACTTCTGGGGGCCTTCTCTTTATTCCATCTGAGGGTAGGGGTGGCCTTCCTGCAGCAGGGAGGGTCTGGGATGACACAGCGGGCAGGTCAAGCTGTCCCGCTCCATCCCTGTGGCTCAGCAGACTGGCTCGGGGGAGGATGGGCTGGTGCCCTGGCCCAGAGGGTAGAGGGTGGGCCATGCCCAATGACTAGCTCTCCTGCCCCTGCCCCACGGCATAAAGGAAACAGTAGCTTATGCAAAACATCTTCCCCCAAATCAGTGGTCCCCTTGGCTGCTGGGGCGGGGCCATCCCCTCCCCGGAGCTCCTCTCTGTCCTGGGTTTTCCCCAGCTCCCACCTTCAGGCCTCCTCAGGTTGACTCCCCCTCTGCCCTCCTCCCACACCAGCCTGTCCATCTGGCCCAGGTGAGTTTCGTCATCCCGGCCTTCAAGTCAAACTTCACACTGGACCTGGAGCTGAACCAGTGAGTGAGGCCTTGAGCCCGGGAGGAAGGGCTGCAGGTTGGGCGGGCAAAGCATGGCCTTGACTCAGCTGGTTGGGGACAGAGGGCTAGGCTGGGGCAGGGGGACCTGGATCCTGGGCTGCGGCAGGACCCAAGCCTGACCTAGCCTCCCCAGTGACCCCCCTCCTTCCTCCTGCCCACTCTGTTTCAGTCACCTCCTGTCCTCACAGTATGTGGAGCGCCACTTCAGCCAGGGGGGGACCACCCAGCACAGCACCGTGAGTGCCTTTGGAAGAGGAGGAGGAGGTGGAATGGAGATGCTGTCTGTCTGTCTGTAGGGACAGGTAGAGATGGGGTCAGGGGTACACTCAGGATGGGCCTAGCTGCTCGGGACCTCCTGTCTCTCTCCACCTTGGAGGCTCTGAGGTGGGCAGGTTGGATGGCTGGCATGGGGCCCTATGCTCCCCTTGCCCAGCCCCAGAGGTCTTTTCTCCAGCCAGGAAAGAGGGGCATTCCAGGACTGGCAGTGTTCCACGCCAGCTATGTCAGGAGTTCCCCCTCCCCAGGCTCCTCTGGGAGGGGGCAGTTGAGGAAATGTCCCCTCTTGCTCAGAAAGTATCAAGGCCCTGGAAATTCCCGGCTGCCTGGGACACCAAGGTCCCAGCCCTGGAGGCCCTGGAGCCTGAAGAAAGATGAATGTGTCTATAAATAGCCTCCTTCCCATCCCTCCCCGCCCCCCAACTTGCTCAGTTACTGGAGCACAAGTAATTCTGCAGCAGGCGGAGCTGGGGAAGGGGCGTTGCTGGTCACCTGTGACCCATGAGCCTAGCCAGGAGGACACATGCTGCTTGCAATTCCTTGGCCACAGACCATGTATCTAGGGGTGGTCCACGGAGGTAGAGTGTGAGATTGTGTGTGGTAGGCACTACATAAATGTTAACTATTATTCTCAAAGGTGTCTATGATCCCTTCACCAGACCCAACAAATGGCTAAAAACCACTGCTGTAGTCCAACTATCCCATTCTATAGGCAAGGTGGAGGCCCAGAGAGGGCTAGGAACTTGCCCAGGGTGACACAGCAAATTAGGAGCACCTCCAGCATAGAACCAGGCTCCAGAGCCCCAGGTGTACCCAGAGACTGCGGCCACCTGCTCACAGGGCAGCTTCAGTGGCCCCCACAAAGACACCTGCGGCCCCCCTCTGCCATCCTCCTGCCTTCATGCCAGGGCTTGGGGTGCCTTCTGCTCACTTTTCTGCTGCTCCTCCAGGGGGCTGGAGACCACTGCTACTACCAGGGGAAACTCCGGGGGAACCCGCACTCCTTTGCTGCCCTCTCCACCTGCCAGGGGCTGCAGTGAGTATGGGGGGGCTGGGCAGTGGGAAGGCGCCTCCAGCTGTGGGCCTGGGAACGGTGGGGAGCTGCGCCTCTCTCTCCACAGTGGGGTCTTCTCTGATGGAAACCTGACTTACATCGTGGAGCCCCAAGATATTGCTGCACCTTGGGGAGCCTCCCGGGTAAGCCCTGCACAGCCCCTCACCATCTTTTCTGATGGCCCTGCCATGCTTGTCCCAATAGCTGCCACTGCTACCTCCTCCTCCTCCAGTAACCTCAGCCTCACTGCCCTCCTCGGTGACCCCAGCTCTGCTTCCCTCCCACTGTGCCCTCAGCTCCAATGTCCCCTCTGTCCCCCAGGCGACCTCCCATTGGGCTCCAGTGTCCTTTGCCCCGGTCTGTCAGGGCGCCCTCAGGTCTTGATCCCGGAATCTGAGCGTCTGGGAGATCAGATCCGACATGGGAGCTCTGGCCAGTTCTGGGTCACCCTAAGGTGGGGTGAGGGGACGGGCTGGAGCTGCCCCCCCACAACTGGGCCCAGAGCAGACCTAGTTGGCCCTCCAAGAACTAACTCCCCCTCATTGCAGGGCCCCCTTCCCCATCTCATTTACCGGACCCCTCTCCTCCCAGCCCCCCTCGGATGCAGGGAACCAGGTAAGGGTGGGAAAGCGGGGCTGGGGAGGGGGCCGGCTGTGCTCCCCTCACCTGCCCGCTCCCTGCAGGCTGCCTGTTTGCTGCCCCTGCCTATTCTGCTCCTCCAAACCGGCTGAGGCTGAGAAGGAAAAGGCAGGTACGGGGGCCCGCACAGACCTCGGGCTGCAGAGACCTTGGGCTGTGGCCCAGAGCAGGACAACCCCATCCATGGCTGAGGCAAAGGAGGGCTCAGACTGAAGCCACTGGGGGCCAGGGAGCCAGCTCTAGGAGATGGTCCCACCCCCTTCCCTAACACCGGTGTCTACACAGGCCCCTGTCGTGGGTGAACGGAGGCTGCCTGCCTTCATCCAAGGCTGGGGACGGATGGGAAACCTCTGCCAGTGGGGGCTGGCACTGTCCCTGGCTGGAGTCCAGACCCCACTACCCCCATTGAGTCTGTCCATGGCTTGGCCATGGGGCCAGACTTGGGTGGGACTTATTCCAAGTGCCCACCCGCCCCCCAGGTCCGCCGTGGCCACCCTACAGTGCACAGTGAGACCAAGTACGTGGAGCTGATCGTGATCAACGACCGGCAGCTGGTAAGTTCCCAGGCTGGAGGGTGACAGTCAGGGGAAGGACTCAGGAGGAGCCTTGCCCTCTTCGCTCTTCTCTTCCCAGTTCGAGCAGATGCGACAGTCGGTGGTCCTCACCAGCAACTTCGCCAAGTCCGTGGTGAACCTGGCAGACGTGGTGAGCAGGCCGCCCTCCCTCCCCTTTCCCCCAGCTCTGCCCCCATCCCCGCCACACACATCCTGGGGGTACTCTCAGCCTCTGACCCCCACCTCCCAGAGGGGCAGACTGAGGCCCTCCTCCAGGCCTGTCCCCCTACCACTCCCACCCTCCAGCCCCCCCATCTTCTCCCCTCCCGGCCCAGATGTACAAGGAGCAGCTCAACACCCGAATTGTTCTGGTTGCTATGGAAACATGGGCAGATGGGGACAAGATCCAGGTGCAGGATGACCTCCTGGAGACCCTGGCCCGGCTCATGGTCTACCGGCGGGAGGGTCTTCCTGAGCCCAGTGATGCGACCCACCTCTTCTCGTGAGTGTCCCTCCCCATGCATCCCCCCAGCCTCTGCTGGTTGCTACGGTGCTTAGGTTTACTTATGCCTGCCTTGTGCCAGGTGCCCCTCTCAGATCTGGGAACTGGGGTCACTTTGCACCTGCTACCTGCTCCCCAGCCACATGCAACAGGCTGGGCATCTTCCCCTGCATCTCAGCTGATGTCTTTGCCTTAACCCTGGTGGTCTTCTCTGCCCCTCACCTCCCCTGGTCCCCTCTTTCTCCTTTTAAACTGTCCCAACATCCTTTCCTCAGGGGCCCAGTGATGTGTTAGGGGGAAAAAATCTAATAAAAGGGCCTTGTAACTAGAGACTATCTAATAGGAACCCCTCATTTGGCTTATGGGCAAACAAACCCAAAGAAGGAAAAGGGCTTGCCTGAGGTCATGCATGAAGGGCCAGGCTTCCCTCCCCAAGGAAGTACTCCAGTGTTGGGGCCTCCCCCAGATCCCCAGGAGCCACCATGGAGAGGGAGGAGGTTATGCTGACAACTCTCTCCCTTCCAGGGGCAAGACTTTCCAGAGCACCAGCAGTGGGGCAGCCTACGTGGGGGGCATCTGCTCGCTGTCCCGGGGTGGGGGCGTGAACGAGGTGAGCAGTGAGAGGGCATGGCTGGGGTGGGCGCTGAGGGAGAGGGGCTGAAAAGGCACTGCCTGTTGGGTGGATGTAGACATCTTTGTGTTCCATCTTCCCCACCCCCAGTATGGCAACATGGGGGCCATGGCAGTGACCTTGGCCCAGACGCTGGGGCAGAACCTGGGCATGATGTGGAACAAACACCGAAGCTCTGCAGGTATCAACCCCCAGGAGACCCCCCTGTGGCCCCACAATCAGCCGAGACCCACACCCGACATCTCTAGAACTGAAGATGGGCCAAGTGTGGGGGGGGGATGGGCCTTGACCCCCTCCACACACTCATATCCACTGGTTCGCCCTCAGGGGACTGCAAGTGTCCGGACATCTGGCTGGGCTGCATCATGGAGGACACTGGGTGAGTTCTTGGGGACAAACTGGGGGTAGGGTCTTGGGCGAGGGAGTCCTGGAGCGAGCACTGGATGGAAACCTGGACCCGGTGGCCTCAAGAGGTCCAGCACACGGGACCACTCAGGATTCCAGGAAGCCCAGTTTTCTGCAAGCACTACTCAGGGAGACCCAGATTCTCCTGCTGGGACACCAAGTGGCCGGGCTGTAGTGCGCACGGTGGCCACTGGGCGCCGCCCGAGCCTCGTGTGGAGACGTCTTCCTTCCTGAGCGCTCCGACACTTTGAGTCCCGAAGTTCAGTGGAGGGGACAAGAGCGAAATCCTTCGCCCTTCCTTGAAGGGCGGGCGGCAGGATTCTCGTGCTCAATCTACTCCCGATGGTGACGGAGTCCCCTGGTGCGCCCCTCCCGAACCTTGAGGAGGCGCAAGAGGGTGGTCTGGAGGGGAGGACCCAGCGGCGCCGTTTCCCCGTCCCCTCACCCCTGTCCAGGTTCTACCTGCCCCGCAAGTTCTCGCGCTGCAGCATCGACGAGTACAACCAGTTTCTGCAGGAGGGCGGCGGGAGCTGCCTCTTCAACAAGCCCCTCAAGGTACCAGCCCCAGGGCGGGGAGCACGGGAGCGGGGCGTGGGCTGGGTCCTGGCCGAACTCCCGACACCCCCTCCCGGCTCAGCTCCTGGACCCCCCCGAGTGCGGGAACGGCTTCGTGGAGGCGGGGGAGGAGTGCGACTGCGGCTCGGTGCAGGTGAGCGACTCGTGCGGGCGCCGGGGAGGGTCCGAGCGGGGAGGGTTACGGCTCGCGCGCCTCCTTCCCCTTCTCCCCGCGTCCCTCAGGAGTGCAGCCGCGCGGGTGGCAACTGCTGCAAGAAATGCACCCTGACCCACGACGCCATGTGCAGCGACGGGCTGTGCTGTCGCCGCTGCAAGGTGAGGAGGCTCGCCGGGGGCGGGGAGGAGGCGGGGCCAGGACAAAGCAGGGACGATTGGACGCCGTCACATAAGGGCGCGAGGGAGGCAGGGAAGGAGGAGCCGCTGGGGGTGGGCGCATCTGGAGGCGGGGCCTGGTGCGGAAAAGCGCCAATGGGGGGTTGGGGGGCGGAGCGTGAGCCAGCCCTGGGACGTTGAAGGCGTGGCTACGAGGAGCCGGGTGGGGGGTCGAACGTGGAGCGACTGGACTGGCGGAAACGTGGGGTCTGGAGGCGGTGCTGGGTGGGGTGGGAGCAGGGCGGGGAGCGGCCGAGGGGTGACTGGGGCACAGAAAGGGGAACAGACCTAAGGGCGGGATTCCAGAGGGAGCGCGGGGCCAAGATACCTGTCGGGCCTGAGCCGGGAACGTCTCTCTTCCCTAGTACGAGCCGCGGGGTGTGTCCTGCCGGGAGGCCGTGAACGAGTGCGACATCGCGGAGACCTGCACCGGGGACTCGAGCCAGGTCCGCCCGGCCCGGCGTCCTGCGGAGCCCCGGGCGAGGCAACCCCTACCCCTATCGGTTTGGCTCTGCAGCTGGCGTCGCTCGTCAGCCTGTTTCCTTAATTGATAAACAGTCTTCTTGCCTCCTGGCTTTGTTCTTTTAATCATTAAACCAGTATTTATAGTCTGGCTGGTATTCCTAGCACCAGGTGTATTCTAGGGATCAGAGCGGATATTAGCATCTATGAAGTCCTAATCATCTGCCAGGCATTTAGTTCTCCCGGCCCTGCGAGGTAGGTGCAGGAAACTGAGGGAGACTGGACAGACTATGTGACTTGCAAAGCCACGTGGTCCTGGGTTCAGAGCCAGACAGACCCTGTAACATGAACCCCCACGTGGGGGGCATTTGGCACCCCTCCATCCCTTCCTGTGGCAAGCCTCAGCTCTCAGTCCTGGGACTGCTGTGCTCAGTCCTGCCCCATCTCTCCACAGTGTCCCCCTAACCTGCATAAGCAGGATGGTTACTACTGTGATCATGAACAGGTATGATGGCTGGGGGTTCCTCCCCCTCTGGGCTCAGTGCAGTCTCTAGCTGGTCTCCATTCTGACCCCTCAACGTCTCTGTCCCTTGTCTCCTGTTTGTTGGTCCCTTAGGGCCGCTGCTACGGAGGTCGCTGCAAAACCCGGGACCGGCAGTGTCAAGCCCTTTGGGGCCATTGTGAGTCTGGCTAGGGGCGGGAGCGGGGACTCTGGAGGACCCAGAATCGAGAGGCTGGAGAGGGACAGGTTCCAGCTAAATAAGCCCCCTACGGAATGTGTGGCTCCCCAGGATTTCAGGAACCCAGCCAGTCTGGGGCTCAGGCTCTGAGATCCTGGGTGGGTGCGGTTACACCTAGCATTGTCTCCCTGCAGTGGCTGCTGATCGCTTCTGCTATGAGAAGCTGAACGTGGAGGGGACGGAGCGTGGGAACTGTGGGCGCAAGGGGTCAGGCTGGGTCCAGTGCAATAAGCAGTGAGTAGCCAAGGCTGGGCCCCCTGCTCTGGAGGGGTGAGATTTTTTAAAGACGGGGCAACAGGTTCTCCTAGGAGAAGCTTGAGTGTCAGTGGGAGAATACTTGCAAAATCAGGTGGCAGGGTGAGGGCGGATTAGAGTGCAGCAGTTGGGTCTGAGGTCAAACTTGGGGTTCACTCCCTGTGCCCCAACAGGGATGTGCTCTGTGGCTTCCTCCTCTGTGTCAACATCTCTGGAGCTCCTCGGATGGGTGACCTGGGGGGAGACATCAGCAGTGTCACCTTCTACCACCAGGGCAAGGAGCTGGACTGCAGGTGTTAGCTGGGATCATGGCTGGGGAAGGGGAGGCTGCAGTTATGATGGAGGTTGGGGACGGGGGCTGAGGCTGGCTATGCTGTTTCTCCAGGGGTGGCCATGTGCAGCTGGCCGATGGCTCAGACCTGAGCTATGTGGAGGATGGCACAGCCTGTGGGCCCAACATGCTGTGCCTGGACCACCGCTGCCTGCCAGCCTCTGCCTTCAACTTCAGCACCTGCCCAGGCAGCGGGGATCGTCGGATCTGCTCCCACCACGGGGTAGGTGCTCAGAAGCCGGGATGGTGGGAGAGGCAAGAGAGGGAACAGGCCCTGCTCACCTCTGCTGGCCCACCCCACCTGTAGGTCTGCAGCAACGAAGGGAAGTGCATCTGTCAGCCAGACTGGACAGGCAAAGACTGCAGCATCCACAACCCCCTGCCCACATCCCTGCCCACAGGGGAGACGGAGAGATATAAGGGTGAGGCTGGAGCTGGCCAGGATGGGTCTCTCTGTCTTGCCCATTCTCCATGCCTGTCCGTGCCAACCAATCCTTGCCTTCCTCTCCAGGTCCCAGCGGCACTAACATCATCATTGGTTCCATCGCCGGTGCTGTCCTGGTTGCAGCCATCGTCCTGGGTGGCACGGGCTGGGGATTTAAGTAAGAGACACACACACATGCACACACACACACACTATACCGTGGGGCGTCCTCGGGGAATCAGAATCTCTGACTGCTGGAGCTGAGGGGGCCGCCCTGAGAGGTCAGCTAAACCAGAGCTCGTGTGTCATGGATCCAAGCCAGCCCACAGGGTCTTGTTTCAACATTTAAATCAATTAGTCGCGGGCCGAGCCCGTGGCGCACTCGAGAGAGTGCGGTGCTGGGAGCGCAGCAGCGCTCCCGCCGCGGGTTCAGATCCTATATAGGGATGGCCGGTGTGCTCACTGGCTAAGTGCGGTGCGGTGCAGCCAGTCTCAAAAAGGACAAAAAAAAAAAAAAAAATTAATTAGTTGCTCACATATAAACACCAGGAGATTTTACACTAACAATCCTAATTTCTACCTTCTCTTGAAAAATGAGAAGATTGGGCCCCAGTGTGCCTCCACGCATCTCAGCACGGCCACAGAGCAGAGCTGTGCAGGGGCTTCCCCAGGTCCCCCCAGCCTACAGTTCTCCATGGGCACCTAAGTTTGGGGTCCTTGAACTGGCCTAACCCTCCCAGTGTGCAAAGGAGGACACTGAGGCCCAGGCTCACACGAGTTTAGTGGCAGAGCCAGGACCTATTTTTGGTAGGTTTCCTGGGTATCTCTCCCTGGCCCTGTCATTAGTGTCCAAGCCCCAGGTGCCCTGGAGGAGCCGGGGGTCTCCTGGGAGCAGGAAGCCCCCCCCCTCCCTGAGAGAAAGGGAAGGTCAGCAGCTCTTTTTCCTCTCTCTCTCTGCCTGTCCCCTCCTTGGCTCCTGAAGAAACATCCGCAGAGGAAGGTATGACCCGACCCAGCAGGGGGCAGTGTGACACCGGCCACATCATCCCTCCCGCTGTCCTTGTCTCCATCTCATTCGTCACCTCACATTCTGTTGATGGGGAGCTGGGGCTGATTCCCTCACTCCTGCAGTCAGCCTGTCATGGCGGGTGCAGGGGTGGGAGAGCCTCGCTCTGGGAAGAAAGTCTTCAGCCTGCCCTTCTCTTTTTCTTGCCCATTGTCCTCTGGCCATGTGGCCAGACCTTCCTGGCCAGATGGACCTTGGAGCTGTGCCCCCCGCAGTCCCCATCCCTGGGAAAGGATCCTCCCTCCATGTCCCATCTGTTTTGTCTTCCATGTCACCGCTGTCCGACCTCCCGCCAGATCCCCTTCCTGGCCAGCCTGTGACTTGCTACCTCCAGGGCCCAGCACTGATCTCCTGGGGCCTCGCTGGAGGGCTCTCCCTCTGGGCCCTGTGTCTTGTCCTCCCCTGACGCCCCCTCTCCATTCCAGGTCTGGAGGGGCCTAAGTGCCACCCCCTCCCTCCAAGCCTGGCGCCCACCGTCTTGGCTCTGAACCACAAGGCTGCCCCCACCCAGCCACGGAGGGAGGCACCCTGCAAGTGTCTTCCAGATCCAAACCCTTCAACTCCTGGCTCCACAGGGCTTTGGGGTGCTGTGGCCCTGCCCTTCACACCATCAGGGTGGACCAGGCCTGGAGAGCATTTCCTTCAAGGCTCCCACCCCACCTCCTGTGGCATTGGCCTTGCACACCAACTGTCCCTGTGTGAATGTAGCTTCCATCATCACAATTGCCACAGCTCAAGTGGGGGGCCTGAAGGGATGCCCCAGTGGGGGCAGGCAGCCACCACTGGGCGTGGTCTGGGATGGCTCCTCCTCAAAACCAGGCTGCTGGGACCAGGGTCTTAGCTCTCTGGGACCTAGGGGAAGGGGCTGACATCTACATTTTTTTTACTGAATCTTAACTGATGAATGTAACCTTGGGGGTGCTGGGGCCAGGGCAGTTGTGGGGATGTTTTGACAAAGGGGGGCCCGGAGGAAGTGAGGTGTGGCTGTCCCCTAGGCCCTCCCCCGGGATGGTCACATCTGGAATCCTGTCACCAAACACAGGCAGGGCCAGCCACCTCTGCTTGCCCCCGCCGCCCAGCCCCGCTGAGCTTGGAAGAAGTACAAGTGCTGATTCAAACCAAAGCTGCCTGTGCCGTGCCCGAGGTCTAGTTGTGGGTACGGCAGCCACATGTCCCAGGTTGTCTTCTATTCCAAAATGACTGTCCTGCTGTCCCTGCCAGGACACATGTATTTGGTTGTGGGGGGGTCTAGAAAATATAGTCCCTGAAATAAAATGGCACCTTCCCCTCTTCAAGAAGGGTGATTCTGGGGCTGACTCAGGGTTTAAGTGCCCCCTGGTGTGGTTGAGAGCTCCCAGTCTGGGCCATCTTCCCAGTAGGGAAGGCCAGAGGTGGCCCAGTGCCTGGAGGGTTAGGGGCTCTGCCTGTGATGTGCAAGAGGAAGTGGGGAGAGCAGGACTCACGGATGATCCCAGGCTTCTAAAAAAGTCCAGGACCCTGTCAAACGCATTCCACTCCTGACCCTTTTCCAGGGCTGAGTAGTATGTTTACAGACGTTTCCCCGTTATGTCCTTCCCTGATCCCCGCTGTGGTTGAGCCTGAGAGACAGGCCAAGACTGAGTAGAATTCCTCAGTTCCCACGGCCTTCCCTCACGACTCTTGCTTGGGACAAAGGGGCTCTGGCTCCTCGACCCTAACAGCTAGCTGGCAGGGGCAAGATGTGGGGGCGAGCCACCTTATGGATGAAAGCCACAAATGAATGGGATCCCTCTCCCAGGGATGCCACACCCAGACTCAGGAGGGGTTTCTGAACGCCTCAGGGCCTTTGAGTTTCTCTGTTTCTGGGACATCTTGAGGAATCATGAAGGAAATGTCCATGAAGGAAACTTCATCTTCACCACCCTCAGGGGCAAACTGGGCCCTGGAAACCATGACACCCTTTTGGGTGGGTGGATGTCATCTGTCTGCAGTGGGGTCCTCAGTATTGAGCTCAGCTGGCACTGCCCAGTGAGGGGGTGAGTGTGGTCCCCTTCTGTTCAGCTCTGCTCCACCAGCCCCACGAGGGAAGGCAGGCAGGAGGAAGGGCTGGGTTTTGCACTATTGCTGTGACACCTTAAGGCACCCATTCTCTGGTGGCGCACATGTGCACACAGGTGGCAACATAGCTGAGCTCAAGCATTTGGATCCATACCTCTGTGTACACAGACATGTCTGTGTGTGCATGGGTATGTGGCTTGGGAACATAGAGAACCTAAGACTTCATGTGACCAGTCCGCCCTGTCTCCCAGCTGTCTGCATCTTCCTGCCCTGCCCTGGCAGTGCCCAGGGAGGAATGAACGCTGTGGCAATGCAGGCCTGGACCTGGCTCCATCCAGCATCCTGTACATATGTCATCTGGGGCTCAGGGGTGGGGAGGCAGGGCCAGGAGCATCAATTAAAGATCACGTCTTGGGGCTTCCACGGAGCTCACACCAACTTTGTTGTCTCTCCTTTCTGCAAATGACCCTCCTGTGACTCAGGTGCCCTTACTGTTTCCTTTGGCCCTGGAAGGAGCACACCAACTGGGGTGCTGAGAGCGGGAAGTGAGCACCTGGGGCCCGGATCTGGGAGGAAGGGGCATGGCTTCCCATTTGAGATGAGGAAACGGGGCGGAGGCCTGGCCCTTCTGCTCCCTCAGTTCTCCAGCAGCGACACTGTGCTCTCCTCTGGCTTCAGCAGAGCAGGAGGAGAGGTGTGCAGAAAAGCATTTTACCAATAGGCAGGAGACTCAACTCCCCTTCTATGGTTGAAGCCAGAAAAGCCTCTCCTTATCTCCCAAGAGATTCCAAAAAGCTGGACAAAACTGTTAACCTCGCTCGTCCCCAGGGCACTGAGCTGCTCTTGGGCTGAGCCTGGAGCAGGGAGGGACTGAGCACGGCTGGGCTGGGCCCTGCCCCGCTGGGGTCTGCACCAGGAGCCCGTTAGCATTACCCCACCTTTGCCTCCAGAGTGCTTTGGGCCCAGAGGTTCTCACGGTCTGGAGCGACTGGAGAGAAGGACTGTTGGAGGATCCATCTGACTCCGGAAGTCGTGTTTGTTCAGGGAAAAGAGGAAAGAAGTGGGGGCAGGGGCTGGAGGAGCGGAAGGAGAGAGGAAAGAGAAGGGGAGCAAGAAATGGCGACACCAGCTGGGGGCCTGGGGAGAATGGGCAGTGCCAAAGCTCCAGGATCACAGCCACATTCTCAGATGGGCAGGACTCCTAGGGCCACCTCGGTTCACATGCAGAGAGACACGGGGCAGCGTCCAGTGTAGATTCCCGGTGCCCACCCTACTCTGGATCTCAATCCCTCCAGGACACCGGGGAACATCCAACTCCAGCCTCTTCCTATTTGCTATGTGGGGGCGGGGTGGGGGGAGAAGCAAGAATCATTTTCAAACCCGTCATGAACTGAAGCCTAGGTTTGCCCTTGTCTTCCTTGCTCTGGGCTGGATGACACTATTTTTAACTTTATTGCTCCTGCCGCTCAGCTCCTCCATCCTGACACTTAACCCCTTCTCAGTTCCCAGTTTCTGGTCTGTTGTGACAACTAACCCAGGTCTGATGGGTCATACAGCTGGCCCTTCAGGCACTGAAAAGTGTGGGTTGTGGCAAATGACAGAGGGGTAAGCAGAGAGGGCACAGGTGAGGCTCAGCCTTCATGGCTTTTAAAGGTCAGTTCAAGGGCTAGCTCAGTTGGTTAGAGTTTGGTGTTATAACACCAAGGTCAAGGGTTTGGATCCCCTAACTGGCCAGCCACCAAAAAAGGAGGAGGAAAACCAAAAAATCAGTGCAGAGTCATTTGACACCCCTCAGCCTCAGGCCGAATCCTGGAGCTCCAGAAGTTGCCTGCTGGGTGCCCACAGCCCAGGAGCCTTCAGAGATGAGGCACTGGTGGCAATGGGACTGCCAGGGAGCATCCCAGCCCTCTGTCCCTGTCCTGCCTGCCCTGTGATGCCAGCACGTTTCCTCCCAACTAGCCAGGAGGAAATAAATCTCTGTGGGCTGGAATGGAGCATCGGCTCAGGCCTCAACAGATCATGTGCAAGGACTGACTCTAGCTTCAGAACATGTTACAGGCAGTTCTGGTGGTGTGGTTCCTAAACCTGTGGCATGGAGCCAGGAATTTAAAATGTGCGGTGAAGGGCCGGCCCGTGGCTCACTCGGGGGAGTGCGGTGCTGATAAAATGTGCGGTGAAGGCTGTCTATTGCAAGGAATTTCCAAGTACAGGTTTTTTCAAAAGCAGGAAATCCTTTGATAAGACCACCACCCCAGGCTGCCTCTGTGTCACCCTCCTTAAACCAGCCAGTGCTCTCTGTTGAGGGTCTCTGGGTGGGTCATGGGTGCAGATTTCAATTCCCAATTATGTCTGTTCAGGCTAATGTGTGGCCCCCTCTCTGTCCTCCCTCCTGAATTGAAGGTGACCAGGATGGAGAGCTGGGGTCACTCAGCCCACTCTGCACCTTGCAGGTGCTCACAGTGTACTTGTCGAGTTGAAAGAATGATGATAAATTCATTCTGGCTCATCCCAGTGTCTAGACCGCATGCAGGCCACAAAGGTAAGCTACATCCTTGCATGTATTTTTTGTCTTTCTAGTAGCCCCATTTAAAAAGAGAAATAGGTGAAGATCATTTTAATATATTTTATTAAAGCCAATATATCCAAAATATTCTCGTTTCAACATGTAATCAACATAAAATAATTATGGAGATGTAACATTCTTTTATTTATTTATTTGGCAGCTGGCTGGTACAGGGATCTGAACCCTTAACAGTGGGTCTTTTTTTTTTTTTTTTTGCACTGTTTGTTTGTTTACAAGTTTATTTTGGTGCAATGCACTAAGTCTTTGAAATCAATGATGAATCTTTACTACTTTTTTGGGGGGGGCAGCTGGCCAGTATGGGGCTCTACACACTTGACCTTGGTGTTATAACACCACACTCTAACCAACTGAGCTAGCCCTTGAACTGACCTTTAAAAGCCACGAAGGCTGAGCACCACATTCTAACCAAGTGAGCTAAGTGGCCAGCCTGAAATCAGGGATGTATTGTGCACTTAAAGTATATCTCGGTTTGTACGAGTCACACTTCAAGTGCTCAAGCAGCTACATGTTGCTGTGACTGATGCTATTAAGTAACAATATTTCAACCCAGGAAGCCTTGAAATAAGGCAAGGACAGAAGTGGAAACAGACAACTACAGCAGGAAAGAGATCACATACAGCAGACACTACCTCATTAAAGGAAGGGAACGTGTGAGTGCAGTCTTTTCTAGAAGGCAAGAGAGGAGCCAGGATTATGTTGGCAGGATCAGGAAATTTTAACTTATCCTAGAGTGAGAGACCTAGATTTGTTCTGCCCTGGAAGGGGTTCTAGCTCCTGGGAATTTGCTGTAAGTAAAATAAGATTTCTATCAACCTTTCCAGAAGGTCATTTGGGGAGAGAAGCGAACCCAGCCCTGAGGTTTGGTGCAGAGAAAGACTCCTGAGGACCAACCAAACCCAGACACCTCTGTGCCCACCGGCCTGGGCATGTCAGGCCTTCGGTGTTGAAAGCAAAGGAGGGAAGTAAAAACGTGGTCAGGGTGTAACTCAAGCTACCGCTATGATGTCCTCTAAGAGGCCTAAGCTCTGACAACTCAGAGACCATCCCTGGTGACAGCTCCTAAAACATGCCCTGGCAGCCCTTGCAATGGCACAGGAGTCCTTAGAGGGCCCAGTATCACCCGAACCTTTGGCCAAACCCTCATGAGGTTGATGGAGTTATGAAGCCATGGATAACGTCTTCCCTGCTGAGCGCTGGTAATGGCCTTCCGCTCAGTCACACGCTGCATTCCAGGTCAGCTCTAGGGACCGAGTGCCACTGGCTCCCCAGAATGCTAATGGAACATGTCTAATGCAAGGGGGCCACTAACAGACTCCTGACTGTCCTTTACTCTTGCACAAAGCTGTTCATATGGTCTATCTGACCCACCCCCAGGTGAAGGGACAGAACAGTTATCATTCGCACTGGCTCCATGTGGCCTCAGGGGGCAGCCCGGCCTGCTGGTCATGATCTGCCATGCTCAGTCCTCCAGCCCCCACTGCCTCCTTGGGCCATGCTCGAGGTGGGCTCCAAAGCATTCACAGCTGTCCTTCCTGCTGACCCGACCCCTCAGCACAGGCCTGGCCTTCAGCCACCTGAACCCCTGCCCACTTGGCAGCCCACAGGCTCCCTGACAAGTGTCTGACCGACTGCCAATCTTCATTTTCCCCGAGAGCCGTCTGCTGCTCGCTGGCAGCTCTAGTGCCCACTTGGGTTTAAAAATAAACTCACTATCTGCCTTTCCTCCAGCCTGACCGCAGTAACTTTTTCCATGTCAAGATTGATCCCAGCTGCCTTGAAAACAAGGTGTCACTGTGTTTTAGAGGCCGCTGCAAGGAATATGTTCCAGCGTCTCCACCAAGGATAGACCATAAGAAATTTGTCCCAGGAAACTCTTTTTGTTGTGGGTCACTCTGGGTGGAGGATTTAGGCACAGGAATGGGGTGGTGGGGGGCAGGGCTGCTCTTAGGGAGATGGGGACTCTCAGGATGGCTCGGGCTGATGTCACCCCTAAACCAGTCTCCAGCCTCAGTGGGGCACACAAGGTTGCAGCCGTCACACTTGCACTGCCATGGGTGGCTCTCCTTCGTCTTCCCCCCACACTTAATTTCACCTCCGTGGCTCTCTTCAAAACTCACCCTGACCCACCCCTTCTCACCCAGAGAGCCTCCCCCACCCCGCGCCATCTGAAAGGCCCTACAGGCTTCTGCGTGGGCTCCCCACTGTGTTCCTCCAGCACTCCCATGCCCTTCCTCCAAGGGCTAATCCCTCTGCCTTTACTGTGAACCCCAGCCCCTCCTCCGTCTTATCAGACATCATTCTGCCATTTATCAGTCCTCTTTCCTACTATCTTCTACTCCTTCCCATAGCCCAAGGTCTTTCCATCCTTAACAAAAAACACACACTAAAACCAGCCCTGGCTCCCAGCGCCTGCACCTTCACAGCCATGCATAGAGTTGCCCCCGGTTCCTTACCACCCCTCCAGTCCTTGAAGCAAACATCAGGGGTCGCCAACTCCAAACCCTCCTCCTCCTCCATTGCACCGTCTGGCTCAGGGCATCGCCGGCTCCGCTCTGCGGCTCTGCTCTCCTCCTCCAGCCCGGGGCTCTGGCTCTCCTGTCCCTTCCCTACTTGCCTCTCCAGCTCATTTCGGCCCATCTTCTCTTCTAGGCTCGAACCTTAGGAATTTCTACCAGTTCCTTGAAAGTTTTCACTCTTGGACCTTCCTTCTCATTTATGACTTCACCCCAACTTTATCTACCTCCTACTCATCTGTTAGGTCTCGGCTTATCTGTCATGTGCCAGCCTGGGTTAGGAGCCTTCGCCCTGTGCACTTTTCGAGGGTCCGAGCACTCAGCAGCACCCGGAATCAGGG